CTTTTGACGAGCTTGTCCAAGGTGTGCTCCGTAGGGTCGAGGCATCAGGCAGCCGCGCAAAAGCGAGATACAACAGCCAATTTACCGCGTTCCCATTTAGTCTGGTGGTGAGTGTCGTCTCTGGGCGAGAGAAGAACGCAGGGTGACCCATCAGAGGCGTGCAAAGGAGCCTAAAATAGACCTGTGCGAACAACCTCATGGATCGGTTGCGGACAACCATGGCTGCACAGTTGTCGGCAATGCCACGCTGGCGCCGGCTTAAAGGGTTTCGGCTTCGGCGCACTTCCTCGCTAGTCGACAAGATTCTGCAACTGCCGAGCCTGTCAAAACGCGCCTCTGTTGGGGAAAGGGAAATCCGAAGATGAAGCGCCTAGCACAGGTACGTGGAATGGACGAACCTGCAAACCCGGGCACTGCTATCGCTCATCTCGCTAATCTCGCTCATCGAATCGGCGATTTTGGCTCTTTGAGCTGGATGTGGCGACGAGGCGGGTGCTCCGACGGGCACCGCCGACAGCACCGACCCCTTGTATCAAGGGAGGTCCTCTCCCGCGTCAGTTTGCTCCGCCGATGATGCCCATCTGTCCAACGGGTCCACTTGCACGATAGTGGTGCCGAGCGAAACGGCCATTCTGCGATCAAAGCACTGCGTCGGGCGAGATCAGAGCCGCAGCCATGGGCGCATGGCATCTTCGATCGATGTACTGTGTGCAGTGTGAGTACCTTGATCTGGCGATTTCGCCACGCTGATTTCCTGAGCCGAAACTCGAGCTTTAAATCTCGAAATGGAAGCCGAAAAAAGACCCGAGAAAGGTTGAGAAATTATTGTCTGGAAAATACGACTCGGCTCAGGAGTGGCAGCGTCTGGCGCGCAACGGCCGATGGGGATGGCAGATCGAGAACGGTCGCTTGCAGACGGGGAACAATTGGGCTCGACTCGCGAACAAGACAACGTACAGCCGAAGCGGACCTTGAGTTGGCGTCAAAAGTGCATGGCGTTGCAGGCGGTATCCAAATTGCTGGTACCGAGGATCAACGCACCGCTTCACTTCGGCAGCCGCGGTGAAGCCAGCTCGTGAGTCGCTTACCGTGGGTCAAGCATGTGATGCTGTGCCAGGGGCCCCTTTGGAAGAGTTCCAAAAGCAAAGCCCGGGCTTGGCTTGGAGCCCAGGCGGTGAAAGCAGTGCCTTTAGCAGCAACGACCTGAGTTGACAATTTCAAAGCCCATCAGCGTGACTCGCCTCCGTGCAAGCAGCGCCTGCCAGGAAGACAGGGCAGAAACAGCTCAGTACGGATAGCAGACGATGTACTTGGTCGAAGAGTTGATGGGTTGATGGCGAAGGACCTTGCATGAAAGGAAGCCTCGTGCCGCTGCCGAGCCGATACTGTGTTTGGCGTATGGTGGGCGCGGTACAGTCGTCACGCTGCGGCCATACCTCACATCCACCGCCGGTAATCAGTGGGACTCAGCAAGGGCTCTCAGCTGATAACAATGGACTGTTTGCGATCAGTCATTCCTCTTTCGCCCTGGACGGTGACTCCAGGGTCGGGCACGGGAACGCTGGCGACGCGAATCATGGTGGGCACTGTGTTGACTCAGACTGATAGGTGCCCTGCCGCGTTGCAGCTTGTCAAGAAGTCGAGCGGGGTTGCCGGGGAGGAGGGCGGAATGCGGCGGGCCAGCGCTAATTTGCACAGGTTGCGCTCAGACGTGGGAACAGAGTGGTGGAGTGGGGGGATGCTACATTTTCGGACGGCGACTCACTCGCATGCTAAGCCGCGCGCAAACGACGTCAGCCTACAGTTTTGTGCGCAGCGCCAAGGGCCACCGCTTAAATTTGGGCTTTCGCCGCTCGAAGCTTCTTGCAACTCCGACAGGCGCAACTGCGTCGGGCGGCTGGGCAAACGCCGATGCCTATCCCGAATCCGATCAGCTCCATCAGGATCCTCCTCTCTCTTAATCCTGTCGACGCTCTGCCTGGAGATTTGATTGAGCGACTAGGACGAGGCCGAACGACCCGGCTGTCACGAGGTAGGGTGATGTATGCATGGCGAGATGTTGGCGCTCGGCTGCGGTTTGGGATAGCTCGGATGAGCAGCTCGCCTATCCGGCTAGGCGTGAGGAGGCGACGCGTGCTTGCCGGCTGTCAGGTTCCTGGCAACGCGCATCTCCAAGTTTTTGTGCAATCACGGTTGAGGTTGACCTTTCTCACCGGCTCTCGCTTCTGGCTCGATGCAAGGTCGAGGAGTCTCTTGCTGCGATGCCCCGTTACCAGCCCGGTTCGCACGTCCAAATGCCGAGTCGAGTCGGTTTCGGGACGCTGTCGCCAGAAGGCATTCCGCAGCCTTGGCTGAGACCCATCCTGGCCCCTCACGGCTGGCACCTTGCACGACAAGACGGGAAGGACGGCGTTTGGTCTTTGCGCGTGCAACGTGCAGCGCAAGCAGGTCTCCAGTCGCCGCCCTCCTGAACTTTGTGCGCATCCTGCATTCGGTGCTGTCAAACATGCCACACGGGACGGGCCGAATCCTCGAGACCCCGGCTCTGCCAGCTTATCCGTGCTCTCGCTTGCTGGCTTTACGCGCCTGCCTTCGCCAACTCCAGTTCATGGCAGCAGCCTCGATTGAGCAGCAGCATGAAGACCGTGCTGTCAGTATGGGCTCAACAATGAAGCGCGTTTCAGAGCGCACATGTGGTCGGCAAGCGGGCGTCATAGAAGCGAGTGCACACGAGGCTCATTCGTGCACGCGGCGGCCATTCGGAAGGCGAACCGAATGCATTCGCCGCTGCGCGCGATGATCACCCTGCTGAGCGCCAATTTGTCCATATTCTGTCGCTTGGCGGTACGCAGCATACCCGCATGCTTTCAGACCGCTTCGACCCGAGGATCAGGCGTCGCCGACGCAAATGCTGCGGTGTTTCCTGCGGAATTCGTAGACCATGGTGCATGGACGCGTGCAGCGGCCAACGGCATTTGGATGGAGCGGTTCGCCGGTGCCACCCTGCGTGCAATCGTAACGTGCTGACTGATTGGGCGCCGTCCTCAGCGCGGATCAGTGATGCCGAGTGCCGAGTGCCGAGCATGACCGAGCAGGGAAGCCGAACCCGAACACGAACCGGCTCGCGGCCGTGCGTCGTGCGGTGACGGGCACGGCA